CTAGGTGCTGGGTTCTCGCAGGTGTGGATGTGGTCTGGATGTTGTCCTGTGTCCTCTGGTCTCTATTTTAGGAATATTATATTTTCATGTATATATGTGGTTTTGGGAGGAGATTTCTGCTGCTCTACTCACGCCGCCATCCTGGCTCCGCCTCCTTCCAGTCTTTTTAAAATTTTTGATTTAAAATAGTTTCAGAACAATGGCTTTTTCTTTTCTTGTAGCCTTATTGAAGTATGATTTACATAAAATTTAATTCACCCATTTTAAATGTACAGTTCAATGAGTTTTCATAAAAATCTATATTTGTGCATCCACCATCCGAAGTTTTAAGAACCCCATAAAATTCTCTCATGCCTCTTAACAGGTAGCCTATTTTTAAACTTAATAGTAGCTTGCGAATATAATTTTTTTGTTTAAAATATTCTTTTACACCATTTTAATGATCCTGGTATGGTTTTGTACAGCTGTACCATGATTTATTGGACTCAAGTTACTTTAAGTTTGTTACTATTAAAATTCAACATGTTGAACGTCCTTATAACTAAATCATTTGTACATTCATGACTATTTCTTTAGGAATAATTTCTGAAAGTGGAAGTGCTGTGTCAGTGGTTACAATTAGCTCCGTGATTAAGCTCTCTGAGGTCAGGGTATTTTATCTGTTTGTTCACTGTTACACATCCAGGGTCTAGCTCATGCTATGCAAGTCACTATTAATAATTGGGTAAAAAATTAGTGGCTGAGTACCTTTTGCTATACTGTATTCCATCAAGACATGCCAACTTATACTGTCACCAACAGTGTGTAACCATGTAATATAATATATTAGGGTGCATTCTGGATTTTCCAGGATCGATCTACTTAAAAATATTCTGTCCTGTTATGCCACCGACCCAAGGAAATATTCCAGGAAGTCTAATATTTTGGCATCCAAATTACATCTTTTAGACTGCCTGCTGTCCTAGCAGCCGTACCAAAAATAAAGAAATAAACCTCTTTGTCAAACCATAAATCTTGTTCTAGTTAGAAAACATGGTCACTTATCTATAAGTTTTTTCTCGCAACATCATAACATTATAAAGAACAGCAAATATATTTACAGTTTTGAATATTAAAGGTAACAAAATTGCTTCAAGTCTATTTCATTAAACAATTTTGGGAACCTTCATTATATTAATTAATTTTTCATGGTATGTTATAATTTTAAATTATAGAATCTCCCCATTAAAATGGGACACATGTTTTCCTTTTCTTAAAAGGGGGAAAAATGTAATGGATGAGATACACTTAAACATGATTAAAATACTAGATTTTATGTATATTTTTCTATAAAAAAAAATTACAGTCCGCCCAACTTGTAATATAGTTTCACATGTATTTCTTAAATGCATTAAAGAACAATAACCACAGCAAATATAATGGATGAGATCAGTTCTGATTGGTCTGAAGATGTGTGGCTAAGGAGCCTAAGGAGCACCTGAATTTAATCAAGATTCCCTGGGGGATAATGATATTATTCCCTGAAACTGAAAAGTCATTGTCTTCCACTGCTCCTGGCCTGTTTCACAAATAATAAAAAAAAACTAATGTCACTTACGTTAACATGAACTCGGGTGCCTATTGCTGGGAGAGCCCTCAGGAGTTCACAAGTGCCAGCTTTAGCTTTTCTCCTGCCCAGGCAGTTTTGAGCCAGATGGGGGCAGCAGAGTTCAGCTGTTTGCTAGGGAATAACAGCATGGCATCTATTTACTAATAGTAAGAATTAGGAAAGGGAACCCACATTATGACTTAAAGTTTTTTACTGGTCAGAAATCAAAAGGTGTCACATTTAAGCCACCAATAATTAAGCCACATTTAAGACAAAAGCAAGAAACTATAATTTTGGTAGCTATGAAAAGTAGTTCACAGTGAGCTGTTTAGAAGATGTAGAAATTTCATCGTCAAAACCCTTTGAGACCTTTCCATTTTCTTTTTCTTCCTGTCTCTCTGTCACATTCACTGATACCTGAGAAGGAAGAGAATACAGAACTGTGAAAGGAATTTCTGTTCATGTAGGCATCATATAACCTTAAGTCCTTTGTGGAAAGTAATTCTTGGCAAATGTTCCAGGACCATGTGTAAGTAGAAAAGGTGTCATAGAAGGACTCATTTTTAGTGTCTATTCCAATCAAATCCCCTCGGATCTTCTGCCAGAGGTTTAGCATTTCTTTCCTGTGTTCAAGGGCAATTCCTAAATTATAGGCATCTGTAGCTCTCTTCACCTGCAGTGAGAAAGCAGAAATTTACAGTAGTTACCTTAAAATGCCTTGATGGTGGACCACTATTACAGATATCCTGAGTTACGTTACCAGGCTACTGGAAAGTCACTGAGTTTATATATTGGGTAGTGGTACTTGGTGACATTAGTAGTTGATGGACAATCAACATTTATTACTTGGGAATAATGAGATAGCTATTAAAAGAATCTTAAAAACACAACAGATTAAAACAGGGGAAATGTGGGAGGGAGATAGGCTCTGGATACAATAGAAGTGCCAAGGGTGGCACTCAGCCCAGCCTAGGACGGAGAGGGAGAAGATGCGGGGCTGAGTAGGGCCCCTCTGACCAAGCTGAGGGAATGAATGGTGATGGGAAGATGCTCAGGGAGAGGGGACGGCATAAACAAAGGCTCAAAGGCAGTAGGCTCCCTGGAGTTGGCATGGGCTGTTTGATACGTGGCACTTCAATATTGCCGAAGTGTCAGTTTAAAATGGGAGGGAACAAGTGTGAGCAAGTTAGGCAGTGTTGTCTGCTGTCATCAGGCCCTGAGCTGTGACGTCAGTGAGGGTAGGGAGAGCCCTTTCCTCCGTGAAAACCAGGCTGTCGTGAGCCACTGTTCCTGATGGAAGTGAAATAAATGCCTCAGGTGTGGAATAGAAAATGTGGTTGCATAACTCTGCCATCGTTGAGAGGGATGTATTCCCTCTTCAGAAGGACGGTGACATAGCTGGGTCTTCATGGTAGATTGTTAGCAGCTGTGTGGAGAATGGGTTGGGGGAGCAGCTCTGTGGTAGAAATAGGGGGCAAGACCTAATGAGAGCCCCAGTTAGGGCAGTAGTAATAGGGGACAGATTTGGAAAATCTTCAGGAGAACAAGAGAAGCCAGATTTGGTGACTGGTGGATGTGAGGAAATGAGGAAAACTTGTTAAGGATGGCTCCTAGCTGCCTTGTTTCCGTGACTGGGGAGATGGTGGTATCAACAACTGAGATACAGAATCCCCAAGGAAGAGCCAGTTTGATGCAGACGATGAGTTGGTTTTGGACATGTCCAGTTTATTTCACTATGAGACAGGGAGGTAAAAATGTTCATCAGGCAGTCACTGAGATGGGACAGAAGTACTGGAAGGAAGGCTAGTGGCAGACTTACAAGTCATCAGTACATAGGTAGCGGCTGAAACACAGGGATAGTCCAAAATAGAGTCCAAAGAACACCTGCCCTAGCTTTTCCTCACTTAACACGGAGATCCCCAATACTCTGATGTGGCTGGGTTACAAGTATGCCAAATTATCCATCTCCTCAAGCTTCCTTAGCCCTTGGGACAGCTGGTGCTCCAGGCTGGAGGCCTCTGGCTGTACACAGCCTCTGTTTACCCCCACGTGAACATGCACCATGATGAGAAGCGCTCGGAGCCCATTCCTTTGCATACTTGTGGTATGCAAAACTGACCACATGTAGTTCCATTTGTCCCAATATATTATTACTGCTCATTTCCTCCTCTGTATCTTCCACTCTCACTCCAAGTTCACTGAGGATAGGAACTGCATTTTTTTCTCTGTGGGAATCTCCAAATCCCAGAACTTTGTTAACATGGAATAAATATTTACTGAACATATGAACAGATGAGTGTATATAATGAGAAGAGCAGTAGGATGAGGCTAGAAAACTAGGAAATATGGAGACTTAAGAGATGGGGAGAGGAGATAGTAAGGAACACGGTTACAAGGAGAACTGAAGACGCAGTATTGTAAAGGTCAAGGAAGTAAAAAGTGTCAAGGAAATTTGATCATTAGAGTCAAAGCAGAAGGCAGGTGGCATAAAATAAGACACCTCAGTCTGTCTCTGTGGAGCACAAATGTTGCTATGAAGGCAGGGCTGAGAATTAGACAGGCAGCATAGAGTTGTGCTTAAAAGTGGATACTGGTGCCAAGTTGCTCATGTTTATAATCCTGGCTCTGTTACTTTCTAGCTATGTGTCTTAGGGCAAGTCACTTAACCTCTCTGTGCACATCTGTAAAATGACACAGAATGATAACAATGCCTGCCTCAGGACTGCTGTGATAAGTGGATGAATTGGTACCTGCAGAGCACTTGTAGAGTAAGTACAGAGCACAGTGCCAGGCACATAGAAAGTGCACTTGAACTACTAAGATTATTTTCATTCTTTCAGCTCTATAGTCAAGATGCTTTCACTCATGATGGTACTCTTGAGTACACCACTCCCTATGGCTACCATCTGACTACCTTAACTAGTTGCTATTTCCAGCATGAAGCAGATGAAAGTCCCAGAAAGAATGATGGGTATGACTCCATAGGAGATTAGTAGGATGAATTATAAGTTATAGTTGAGTCCATCTGAATATAGAGCAAGAAATATCATTACAATGGGTACAAATGAGAAACGATCTTATTTTAAAGACAGAGCAGGAAAAAATCTCGTTTTTATGTTTGTAGCATTGAAGTGGAAAATACTTTTGTCAGTGTTCTCTGGAAAGGCATTTCACAGTGGATACTCACGTGCTGCTTAATAGCAGCTACACTGGTCACTGTCCAGTTCTGCTTTTTCTTGAGTATTTGATCAATGGCAAGGATGGCAGTTGGATAGCCTGAGGCAGGGCCAATGGGCTTTACATTTGCTGTCTTTATGCACATTTGAAAAAGAAGGTTAGTTATATATTTTAGTTTGAATTATATAAGAAAGACATTAAACAGAAGTATATTGTATTATGAAAGCATTTGTATATGATTTATAAGGTTTATTGCTAAATCACTTGCCAGTTGTTTTGTGGCACGTGGATCTACAGTGCCATTTAGCAAATTCTCTTTCTTAATGATGACGCCTACTCATAGGAGTAAGTACAGACCAGAAGACGGTTCATGTTTGGAGTGGATATGGAGGGTAGGAAGGAACCAACTCCATCCTCACCCAAACTTCCCAAACCATCACAAAGACTGAAATGTGCCCTCCACACAGTACAACGCATGTTACTTCCAAACTACTCGTGGGGAACCGGCCATCTGTTATCTCTCTTGCTGGGCTGCTGAACAATGCTGGTGAAATCATATAAACACAAGTGCTTCCTTTAAAAATGTGTGTCTCCCAGTCTCATCAAAGCCCTTGGTATAGCTCAGTATTACTTTTCTTCATTCGCTGTTAACAGCTGTATGGTCCTTAGAGTGGCTCCTAGAAAACCAGACCTTCAAACTCCATCAGCTAATGATCTTGGCTCTTCAAGGTTACCTAATATGAATTCTTTTAACTCTTTTTTCCACCTTAGGGTTTCTTCATCCTTTAATGTTATTCCCCCCTCCTTCCTTCTTATATATGAGAGCTTTTCCTAATTTCCAATGCCAAAGTCTTCCCCACATCTTTGTTTATTTGCCTCCTGGACCTTTTACCTTCAGTTCTCCTCTGTCCAGGGCTGGCATCATCGGGGAGTGACCTGGACAATCAAGAAGAACCCTGAGTCTGGGTTACTGTTTTGCTGTTGCTGTCTTTAAATCTGTAACTGTTCTGGACAAGGGGCCCCACTTTTTTGTTTTGTGCTGGGCCCCCCAAATTATGTAGCCAGTCCAGCAGTCCTCCTCTCCTTAATCTTCAATTTCTCTTTTCCTTGAGTGGTTTACAGCTTTCGTTGCATGTTGGTACTTTAGAAAATATTGAGGCCTGGGCGCCATCCTGAGATCTGATTTAATTGGATAAGGTGGGGGCCTGGGTATAGAGTCTTTAAAAGCTTTCTCTGGTGATTCCATTGAGCAGCCAAGACTGAGAACGACAGCTCTAGGGCTCCTTCCTTCTGGCGACAAATGTGCTCAAGTCTCTTGCATCCTGAAACCATTTTGTCTAGACTCTGATTCTGTATCAGCCTATAGTTTCATATCTCTCTTCCTTAATAGTTAAAATTTTTTGTAAGAGGAGCTGATTTTTTTTGTTTGGCTTTGTTTATGAGTTTCTGGAGATGCATGATAAAAATCTCCCACTGCGATTATGGATTTGCCTATATGTTTAGCAGCCATTCTTCCTTTATTTTCGCATGCATAATACCTTAAAAAGTTTAAACTTAATCCTTATAATTCTGTTAATTATTACCTTCTCTCTCAATTTGCTAGGTGCATACAGGTTAGGATGGCTATGTCTTCCTCATGATTTTAAAAATCATTAAGTAGCATCTTTATCTTTAGTTATATTTTCCTTAAATTTTACTTTCCCCATATTAATATATTGATACCAGCTTAGTTCAATTTGGATTTGCCTGATATATTGTTTTCTGTCCCCTTACTTTCAAGGTTTCTTTGTCACATTTTAGGTATGTCTCCTTTAAAGAACATACCTGAAAATTATTAAAACTCAGTCACAGAATCCTTTTTTTTAAACTTGAAACATGACCCATTGTCTTTCCTTCCTTTTAATTCTTGTGTTTTAGACTGGTATGTTTAATCTTTTTTTGTGATTACTGTTATATCTGGATTTTTCTGCCTATTTTGTTTTGTACTTTCTATTATCCCATGTTTTCTTTCTTCTTATTTTTTCCTTCTGTTGGTTTGACAGTTACTCATTTTAATGATATTCATTATGTTATTCATGATTTGATTTAGTCATTATCCTCACATTTTTAACACTCATAATTCATGTAATGAGTTACAGATTTAACCAATATCATAAATCTCTACCCAAACACAAAAAGAACTTAGAAAGCTCAATTCTGACCACCACCCTCCTCATCTTCCATTTTACTGTGGTGTAGTATTTTAGTTCTTATTGTTTAATACTCCTCAAACCAGTAATTCTTCTTTTTTATTTCAATTTTCTGAGGGTAAAACATGCACATGGTTCAAAATTCAAAAAGTATGATGAGTATATACTGTGATCTTTCTGCCACTTCTGTCTCCCAATCCCCTAGTTTCCCTTTCTACAGGCAACCAATGTTATTTTTTTCTTGGATTTCCTTACAGGAGATTTTACAAGAAAAAAAAATGTGCATTTCATATTTTTCTTCCTTTTTACACAAATGGTAGTGTACATTTTTTGTATTTTCTTTGGCCATCTGGAGCTCTTCCACATCATCACACAAAGTTTCTTAAGCCATTATAATGGCTGTAGAATGTTTCATTGTTTGGATGAAGCATAATTTAACTTGTCTCCTAGTCATGGTTTAGTTTTCCCCCTGATCTTTTGCTAGTATAGATAACCTTGTAATGAATTCCCCTGTATGGGTGGTATTTGGAATATGTGCAAGATAACTGTGTATCCTAGACAGTTTCCTAGGAGTGGAATTGCGAGGTCATGAAGGTGGCAGAATATGCCACCCTAAAATATGTGACTTTGGCCTAAGGATTATTTTGAGCTGAAGGCACTTGAAAAATAGCAGGTGTATGAAGGGCACTCTGATCTCTCCGTTTTCTTCCTGAATGCGGGAGATAGAACCCCGCCCCTTATGGAAGATGTCTTCACTATACTAGGAGGAAAGTAACATTGTTAGCACTAAGGATGAAAGAGTCAAGGCTGAGAGAAACAAACAAACCTTGTTAAACTACCCCTTATCTTCCTGGTTACTTCTCCAGGAAATTAAGTATCCTAGTCCAAATCTCTTTGCCTAGACACATTTTAACAATTTACTACTCTTTGTCCAATTCAGTATATAAGGGTTCAATTCTAACTACTTCTTTGTGTCTTCATTCTTTTGTGGGACCCCCATGTACATGTGCAACTTAACAAAATGCATATGCTTTTCTCCTGGTGAAGTATTTTATGTCAATTTAATTCTCAGGTCCAGCCAAAGACCCTAAGAAGATAGAGGAGAAATTATTCTTCACCTATAATCAAAAGGTGTGAGATCTGTCATGTTGGCAGATATTGACAAATTTCTTCTGTAGAGGATGAACCAATTTAAACTCCCATCTGCAATTTATGAGTGCCCCATGGATTTTGCAACTTTTTGATCTTGGTCAATCTAATATGGAAAGATAATTATCTCAGGGCAGTTTTAATTTGGTTGTTTTATGAAAAGTGAGCTTAAATATCTTTTCATGTTTCTGAGACCTGTCTTTTCCTATTCTTTGCTAATTTTTATATGGGTTAGCTTTTTAACAATCAATTAGAAGCTCTCTGATGTATCAGAAAAGGTAGCTCTTTGTGTTATGAGTTGAAAGTGTGATTTTTTTCTGGTCATGTAGAGATTTTTTATCTTGAAGTAGTTGAATTAATATCTTTCTATTAAAAAATACTTTTGTGTCATAGTTAGGAAGGCCTTCCCCAGAGTTTATTTCAGTTTTTTAAAGATTTCTTTTCTTTTCTCTTTTCCTGTTTTACATTTATATCTTTGATGTATTTGTAATTTCTATAAAGTATGAGTTATGAATCTTTTTTTCTCAGATGACTGCCTAGTACTCTATTCAACAACCTATGTTTTCCCTGTTGTGTTGAAATTTTCCATTTTTCTTAAATTAAAATTCTCTTTCTTTATCTATATTTGGACTTTCTCTTTTGTTCTTTGAATCTATTAAAATGCTGAACACACTGTTTTAATTATTGGAACTTTTACTAAATATGTTATGCCTTAATGTTTAATATTGTTAGTCCCTGTCCTTATTATGTCTTTCTTTCAGGCTGTTCTGACCGTTCTTGCTTATTTATTTTTTGTATGAAACAGATTGTTTAGTTTTAAAAATCCTTTGGATAAATTTCTAAAACCACATTAACATTATAGATCAAGCAAGAAAGAACAGTATCTTTATGATGTCAAACATTCTTAATTTGGGGCATGATCTACGTTTCTCTTTGTATACATTTTCTTCTGGGTCCTTCAGGAGCATGTTAACATTTTCTTCCTATAGATATTTAAGCTTTTCTTCCTGTAGATATTTAACATTTTCTAAGTAATCTTCAGGTATTTTATCTCTTCTATGATGACTTTAAAAGAGGTAATTTTATCTTCTTATATCTTCTAACCTGTTAGAACTGGTTGTTGTTTGTGGCATTATTATAATTTTTTACAGTCGATTCTTATCAATTAAATTCTTGCTTTCCATTTTATGTGTTCACCATTTATTAATATTTTTTAATATTACTCAAAAATAGTACTAAAAATATTCAAGTGACTGTTCCAGTGACTACTAAGTATTTAGGATTGCATTATTGAACAATACAGGGTACCTGCCTCATGGTGTGTATATTCCACTTTGGAGACATACAAATAAGCAAATAGGTATGTGATGTAATGTTCTATAGTAATACATGCTGTGTAGAAACATGAAGCAGGGTACATAAGGGATAATGGACGATGTTATTTTAGACTAGGTGGTAGGCAGAAGGCTTCTCTGAGGAGATATCATTTGAGCAGAGGCCTGAAGCAAGGAAGTGAATCATGCAAAAATCAATGGAAATAGCATTTCTAGGCACAGATAATAGCACATATGAAGGCATTAAAGTGAGAAGTATTATACTTTGTCTGTTTAAGGAAGAGCAAAGCCAGTGTACTACCTTTTTGCATCTCACTTCCTTTTCAGTTTAGTTTCCTTCTTTCTAAAATGTACCCTTCAATAGTTATTTTAGCAAAGGTCTAAGAGGTAAACTCTTCCATTTTCTTTGTTTGAAAGTGTATTTGCCCTCACTCTTGAGTGATAGTTTAGCTGGGAATTATATTCTAAATTGGGGATATTATTTCATCTTCTGGCCTGTATTTTTGTGGACACAAAGTCTGCTGATAAGTCTACTTTTTGTTGGGTTGTGGACTTGGTTCTTTCGTCCCGTGGTGTCTGGCCCAACCATGATCTATGCCCGTTGAAGTTCTGTACCAAAATGCAGCTTCTGGTTCCTGAGTTGGCGGGACAGCAACAGGAGGCAGGACCAGAGGGCCTCTTCATCGTTGTTCTTATATTCCCTACCCCTGGCGCCAAGCCTTGGATTGTATATTTTTTCAGTAAGTTCAGCTATTTGTTGAAATTAAATGAAATATTTATACCCAAGCTTAAATTTAGGAACATGGCTATAGAATCTGGTTTGAAATCTAATGATTGAAAAATCTGTGATTATTAAGTGTGTTACTAGTTCTGTTAAGTTAAAACTTAAAAACTGGAGTATTTAAATAAACTGATGTAACATAATTTAAATCTCACCTGTGTTTTCCAGTCTCTTTTATGGAAAAAATAGTTCTCAAAGAAATTCAGAGACTCCTTTCTTCTTAGCATTTCTAATTTTTGTATATCTTGGAATGGCTTTCCCAACACTAACCCATCCACATTAGGAAACAATGGAAAGATGGGTATTTTTGAATATGGGCTATGTGAAGGAGGATTGTATCCTAGTAAGGTAAAACAAAAATGGTATCATGAACAACATAAGAAGACAATCATATAAAAGACGTACATATGATCCCTGTTTTTCTCTTTGGCTAGTCATCCCAGTGGCCATGACACCCCTTTTCATTCTCCTGTGCTCACTGCTCCCCCACAACCCCCATCCAGAAACTCTAGGCTTCCCAGACTCTAGGCTTCACCTGAATCATGAGGATTCAGGTAAGATGTACATTTGCTTTCAAATAATATCTGTGTGACAGAGGCCAGTCACTCAGTCTGCCCTTGTAACACTTGGTCCTCTAGCATTTATTTCTGACCAGTAATATGTGAATAAATCCTTTACAACAGTGGGGAGAAGCCAAATGGCTCTTACTCTTGAGCTCTTCAAGAAATTTGAATAAATCTTTTTCCTTCATTATTGCAGTCTGGGCAGCATTAGCAAAGGTAGCTGTGCTTGAGCTTAGAGGTATACATAAGTCTTGCTTAAATCTCTTTTTTCCATAACCCATAGCATAGGGACTCCTCGTAGTTTCCTGGAATTTTCTTCGGAAATAGCTTAAGGAAAAAAAAAAGCAATCCAGAAATGGGTAAAAAGTGCTATAGTTCTACTAAAAAAGTGCCTTAATGTTCTGCCCTTCAGAATTGTGAGAATAGTTTCTACTGTTTTAAATCACCAATTTTGTGGTAATTTTTATAGCAACCCTAGAAAACTGATACGAGAGAGAAGAGAATATCCTAGGCAAATACTTGCAGGTTAGAGAGCATGGAATAGTTGAGGACCTGAACCAAACGTAATATAGGATATGATAGGGAAGTTACAGGAGATGAAACTGGAGAGTTACGCAAAGGATAGATATATAATGAAGGACCCTGAAAATACCATGTAAAGTTGAAACTTTTTCAAAGGGGACATAAGAGGCCATTGTAGGGGTTTTAGCAGGTTAATGGTATGACTAGATTTGTTCCTGGCATTGTAGGTGCATATTTTCCAATTGAATATTAATTATTCTGGTTGCAAAGTAGAAATGGGTAGAGATGGCAAGAATGGAGGCAGAGAGACAGGATAAGAGGATATTGCAGTAATCCAGGCATAAGAAGATAGTGATTTACACTATGGTAGTTTCTTTGGGGATAGAGAGAAGTGCATGGATTTGAGGCATATTTAGGAAACAAGATTTTGTTTGTGGTTGGATGTAAGCAGTGAGAGAGCAGCAGCAGCTAAGGATGATGCTGGGCTTTGGCAATGGATAAACAGGGAGATGGAAGAGCCATTCACTGAAATTTGGAACCTAAGTGGAAGAACTAGTGGAAATAGGGGTGGAGGAAGGAAATGAATTAAGTTTGGACATTTTGGGCTTAAGGTAGCTATGGGACTGCCCAGTAGGCAGATAGAAACTCTAGAGGAGGATCTGGGCTGGACATACAGTCTGATCTTTCTATGCCTCATTCTCCTTGCCTATAAATAGGATATTGGAACCTACCTCAGAGTGTTGAAGTGAGGACTAAATGAGATGATTCAAGAAATATTTACTGAGTGTAAATCTTTTTTTCCTAGACACTGGGGATGTAACAGTAAATAAAACAGACAAAAATAATGCTTTCCTTCATGGAGCTTACATTCTAGCATGAGAAAACAGATAACAAAATAAATAAGTATATTAGAAGGTGATAAATAGTATGAAGAAAAATAAAGCAGGGACAGGGAGACAGGGAGTGGTAGAAGGACTGCAGTTTTAAATAGAGTGGTCAGGGAAGGCTGTACTGAGAAGATGACATTTGAATAAAGACCCAGAGTTGGTGAGATAGTCATGTGGATATCTTGGCAAAGAGCATTTGAGATACAGGGAAGAGCAAGTGCAAAGGCCCTGAGGTGGGAGCATGTCTGGTTGTATTTGAGGAACAGTAAGAAGACCAGCATGGCTCAAGCAAAATAACAGGAGATGAAGTCAAAGAGGTCAAAGGTGAGTACAGATATCATAGAAGGCCAGTAAGTCATGTAAAGACTTTGGCTTGTACCATGAGGGAAATTTAGGAGGGTTTTAAAGGTTTTAAGTAGAGGAGTGACATGATATGACATTTTAAAAGGATCATCTGGTGCTTTAAGAGTCAAAGAGTCAACTAGGCAGAGGGAGTGTGGAGAGTAGACTAGAGTGGGCAAGGCAGGGGAGGAGAAGTTAAAAGGTACAAGCAGGGAGACCAGTTCAGAGACAGTAATTCAGAAAAAAGCTAGTGTATATAAAGTGCTTACTCAGAACTATTCACTTAGTAAATGCTCAATAAATGGTATAATCAGCTATAGGAATACCTATCAACTTCTGTCATTATCCAGGTCAAGACCCTCTTTCAGAGGAAACCAGTGAATTATCTTGACACTTGTTTGACAACTAATTGTGTAATATATTTTTTATTATTTCACTTCTGAATATTTAGTTATCTATATACTTAATGGCTTTTCTCTCCATTTGTATTGTAAGTTCCTTAAATGCAAATGCTAGTGTATTAAACAGTTTTGATCTCCTTAGAAACCAGGTACGTGATAAGTAACAACCGCAATCATAATAACAATAAAAATACCAACATCAGCTAACATTTCCTAAGCACTTACTGGGTGTGAGAGGCAATAAAGAGAGGTGGATTCTGAAAGCAGGTTGTGCTAAAATTTAGGCACCACTGCTCTTAGACAAGTTACTTTATTGACCTGCGCTTCTCTTTTTTGATCTGTAAAATGGGGATAATAGTACATACCCATCAAGGAGGTGAGGATTAAAATAGGTGATATGTATATTCTATGATTATTCTCATTACTTCCACGTAACAATACAGTGCTTTATTCCATATAACAATACAGTATTTATATACATAATAATATTTATCAAGCTCTTAAGATGTGCTAAGACCTTCACCTGCATTATCACATATCATACCCACAATTGCTCTATATGGTAGGTAGTATTAGCATCCCCATTTTATAGATGAGGAAACTGAGGTTGAGAGGTTAAGTGGTGTGCCAAATTTCTGAACCAAAAGCAGGCATTTAATACATGTATTGGATTAGAATGAAGAGTAGACTGTTGTGCACCCTCTGTCCCACATCTGGCAGAGATACAGAAGAGTATCAAGAGATTGCCTGTTGAGGAGCAGATGGGTATTTTTGCATTGTTGATAGTATTCTGTATATTCAATTCTAAGTGGGATAGCAGAATGCTTTGAAAGAGTTTGAGTTGAAAATATTGATAACAGCAACATTTAATTTCTAAAGTACAATGATAAAAATACCTTGAGGAAATTTATTTTTAGTGGTACTTGCTGGAATAAACAAACACATTCAGGTGTGAGAATGTTTCTTCGTCTTCTATTCTTAAGTCTAATTCTGGCTTTGCTCCGGTCCAAAGGCTATTTTGGGAGGTTTGAACTTGCTGTACCTCATCCAGAGTGAAGGGACCTCTCAAGAGTCCCTGGTAGTTCTAGCATGAGTGGGAGTATCTTGTACTCCAAATTAGATGTCCAAACGCACTCAGAGTTATCCCTAAAAAGTCTTTCTCCTCTGTGATTCTCTAGCCTAGAGTAGTAGAGGCTCTACTTTCTTGGCTTTCATAGGCCCTCAGTGGGATCCTGAGATGATCTGAGGCCATCTTGCAATTTTAGAGCTAAGCAGTACTGTTGGGGATGAAGGGTAAGTTTTCATGTTGTGGCAGGTGAGTACTGCCACAGACACCTTCTCCTTTGGTTTAGAGCAGACCCTGTGGAGTAGGATGTTAGTGGGAGGTGACTGCCTTCTTAATATCCTCGTCAGTACTTCTGTGGAGACCATTTTGCCCCTTTCTTTGCTGCTTACCTTACTAATTCCATTATAGCCTTTCTGGGTAAGGCTGATGTCTCTACAAGCTTTGATAGGATTTCAAACAACAGGATCCCAGGGTTGCCAGGTAAATCTAAACAGGCCCCCTTTGCTGGAGCTATGGAGGGAACAAAAGTTCAAAATACCTTCTGAAAAAAACATCTATCAAAAAAAAAGGGAGTAAGCTGATGGTCTTTTTTAAAATTTTTACTGTATCTACAATATTAATACCAAGTCAGAGACTAGAGAATTATAGGAAAGCACTCAAAATCTGTTCTATTTGGTAGAAAGGTCATTTTGAACAGACAAAAATGACCTTGGATTAAAATTCAATGACTTCTAAGAAATGCAGTAATACAGTTAACATAAACATGAATTATATATTAAGGACTACTGCCTTGTTCTTCTAGGTAAAGAAATTGTTGATAAACATCTCAGGTTTGCAGGCAAACCCTCATTACTATAGTGGTATTTGAAGCATTAACTTCTGTTAATCCTAAAGACAGTTCATAGACTATGAATGGGTGTATTCTCAAAGCTGTGCGCACCATTTGGAATTTGCAATGCATTTATCCTAGCAAACATGATATGAATAGTGGTTAGACTTTCTAAGGAAGTCAACTAAACTCATAAACAAACCATTAGAGGACTAATAATATTCCAGGTATGCCTCCACATCATTTATAACCTATGTGAGAACATGCTCTTTAATCTCCAACACATTCTCCAGCCCTTGCATTGAAGGCAGAGATTTCATCAGGTTAAGGGAAGATTATTTTTTAGGAACAGTAAGTTATCAACACTCCAAATTTGCATGAAAGAGGGCATTTTTCTTTCTCTAAAAAATATTTTTTCTTTTGTAAAAGAGGTGCCTCCCAAAGTAGCACACATACTTGGTAAGAATACGATAAAGGTCACAAAATTTTTCTACACCATTCCTTGAGTGTTCTCTTTGGAGACCAAAAAGCAGTGTGTCCTGCAGAAGGACTTGATGCATTTAAATTAAAATTCTAAAATTTGCTTAGCAAATATTGTTTTGGAGGAGCAGTACAAAAGTCAGTCACATCCCAGAGTACACCTTTCTGATTTGTCTCCTGATTGGAGGCCTAAATGAATAATAGCTACTATGCAGTGAGTTGCAACTACCCACCTACCATCTGTTTAGTAATATCTCCACTCACCCACAGCTTTAAGGAAGCAGTCCTTATCTGTTAGCACCTTTATAAAGTCTGAGAAATTCACTTTTCCATCTCCTGCAACAGAAATCTAAGGCTCAGAACAAGGATGTAAGATGTATTTAATTATCAAATTATATATTCAATATAAAAATTAAAACACTTTGGTTCATTCAATACTTAAAATCAGAGAGCATTTAGGGCTGGAGTTATGCTCAGGTAAGCACTGGTCTTGAAGTGGTCTAAGCACCATCAGAGTAATTACCACAACCCACAGAAGCAATGGTGGGCTATAACATCAGACCTGGGGCTCCTGGCCACTGCAGTCCTATCAACTCACTCTTTTCCTAGAGACTTGTCATTTTTTCAAGGAATCCACCCCTGCCTTCCCACTCCAGACCACTCTCTTAATATTTGTATTAAAATATACCCAAGTTGTACCCAGTTTTCTCTAAAATTAAAGGATAATTAGTGCTATTCCTGGCATGTGTGTGTTTTTTGATGATAGAATAGAAAATTGGGCATTTAGTGGAAACAAGTGACGCCTTGATTAACTGGTGACATTGATTCACATGTGGAACTGATGCTGATTGAATGGGGCACTGGCAGTTGAGTAGGGAGAGGTGAGAGGTGATAATATGCTGAAGATACATTCCATGCAACATACCAGCTTGGGCTATAATCACCAGCTCAGTATATTCACAGAAAGCACTTTTACACCTTAAAAATATTAACAAAATGCTGGGACATCTAAAATTCAATACAGGTGGGCTCTAACGACGGAAGAAAGATTTGAACTAATATGATTCTAACAGAACAAAGGACTTGGATTTTCTTGGTAATGTCATTTTTAATGTTGTCAATGCCTTTGTATCTATTTTTTAAGGCACCCTCCAAAATGTACATCATGACAGGTAATCTGAATTTGACATACACTTTTAGTTCCCACACAGGACTTTTTAAAGAACAGTTCATTTTATAGCATTAATTTAATTTCATAACTTGCACACATACTTCACTGATATCCTTAAAGAGAAACATATAGAGTTAACCTTTAAATGACACAGGGATTAGGGGCACTGTGACTCCAATGCAGTTGAATATCATGTATAACTTTTGATTCCCCCAAAACTTAACTATTAATAGCCTACTGATGATCAGAAGCCTTATAAACAATTAATACACATTTTGTATGTCATATTATGTACTATATTCTTAAAGTCAGCTAGAGAAAATATTAATAAAATCATAAGAGAAAATACATTTACAGTATTGTACTCTATTGATAGTGTAAGTTTACATTGTGTATGAGTTGTATACAAGATGAGTCATCAGTATCTACATCAATATTGTCTTATACAAAGCAGTATAGATGCTATATGTATTACTAACACTAGACTTTAAAATGAAAAGATAATGTGAAAAAGAAATTCCTATTCCTTTGTAGGTATGAAAATTCATGCATTGATAATGAAGCAGCAATAAGATTGCTTTATCATAGCCTAATGTAACTGATACAATTGCATATGGTAGCCTAGCCTATACACAAATGAATGTTATTAATTTTTTATGGCATACAGTATAACAGTCATATTATAATAATACAATATTGGAAATACTGTTAGATTTAAAAAAGCAACTTACCTGTGATAAGTTGATACCCAGTTTCCCCAATTACAAGGCAAGTATACTGAATGGTAATGTGATTCTTTGAAAGTAATGTTATCAAACAGTAAGACAATGAACACATCTCATTTTATATTAAGTATCACTCGCCTTCTGCCTGGGGCTAAGCTATCCACTTCCATACCCATCTTGCGCATCATGTTCTACACAGTGAATACTTAGGTGATGACGATCATGATGACACAAAAATGTCTCATATAATTCTTGCTGAACAGTTACTATATTTTCACATGAAGACTTACAAATACACAGCAGGTAAATTTATTAACTATACGGCATGACAATTATTAAGTGGAAATGGGTCATCATAAAGGTCTTCATCCTCATCATCTTCACATTGAGCAGGCTGAGGAGAAGGACGGAGTGTGTTGGCCTTGCTGTCTTGGGGGTGGCAGAGGAGGAAGAGGTGGACGAGACACCAGGAGAAGCAGGCACACTCAGTGTAACTTCATGGAAATACACTGTAATTTCTGCCTGACTTTGTTTTTTCAGATTCTCTAAAAATGTTTCTATACAGTACCTGTCCTATTTCCACCTTTATCATGGAAAGGTCCATGTTGTAAAAGAAGTTCAAAGCAGTCTTAAATATCAGAACACTTTTGCCAGATTGTCTGCTGTCTGTCTGTTTTCTGGCACTGCTTCTCCTGCATCTTCTTTCTCATCATCCGGCACTGGTCTGGAAGCACTCATCTCCATCATGTTGTCTTCTGTTAATTCCTCTGGTGTGGTGTCTGTTAGCTCTTGAATTTGTCCAAGATCCGTATCTTGAAAACCTTCACCACCCACCCTACCCCCTGACTGTTTTTTTTTTTTGCTATATACACCATCTCTTTGAGGATTTCCTTGATTGGCTCTATCATAAATCCTATGAAGTCATGCACAACATCTGGACCTAGTTTTCTGCAGCAGGAATTTACGATTTGGGGCTTGATGGCTCTCACAGCTTTTTCTAGAACAATGATGGCATTTTCAATGGTGTAATCCTTCCAAACTTTCATGATATTCTTTCTTTTGGGGTTCTTTTCCATAGTGTCAACAATCCCTGTGTGTAATGAGCCTTAAAGGTCCCTATGACCCCTTGAGCTAGAGACTGAATTAGAGATGTGGTGTTTGGGAGTAAGTAGACCACTTTGATGACTTCAGTGTTGAACTCATGGGGGTTCTGGATAGCCAGGGGATTGTCCAGTATTAAAAGAACTTAAAAGGCAGTCCCTTATGGCAAGATACTTCCCAATTTCTGGAACAAAGTATCAATGGAACCAATCCAGAAAAAGGGTTCTTATTGTTCAGGCTTTATTGTATAACCAAAGAGACTGGCAATTTATCTTTTCCCTTCAAGACTTGGGGATTAGCAGCTCTACTGATAAGGGTGTCCTGATCAGAAACCTACTGTATTCTGCACAAAACAGAAGAGTTAGCTTATCCTTTCCTGCCTTAAATCTGCTGCCTCTTGGTCAGCAGAACTGGCTTCTCCTGTTATCTTGACATTTTTTAAGCCAGACCTCTCTAAAATTATCAGACCATCCTTTGCAGGCATTAAATTCTCCAACTTTAGATCTTTCACCTTTCTTTTCCTTTTGTTGTCATATAAAAAGACTTCACTTTTTCTCAAATCATATTAAAGTCTATAGGTATGCCTTTCTTATAACATTTCTGCACTCACATAAAGGTACATTTTGAATATGAAGTAAAAAGATACTTCACAAAAAAATGCAAGGTTTTTGTGACTGCTGGTATAGCTGCAGTGACGGCTTCATGAATTTCCTTTTTTTTACAATGGCCCTTATGCTGGCGTCATATATATAGATCTTGAACTTATGGGCAACTACAGCTGCAGACCTCAGTCTATGGTATATCAAGCAATTCAACTTTTTCTTGTAATTGCATGATTTCTCTGCTTCTTGGAAACACTTTCACCATCACCAGAGGCATTTCATATGAGTCCCATGGTGTTATTCAAAGTTTACAGTATTGCATTAAACATGATGAAAAATATGGGAGAACCATGAATGATAATTTTTTACTATGATACACAGTTTACTGGAGAGATGAGCTGCTCATGCAGAGATGATTAGTGTCACATGGCATTTTAATCAGATATTTGTGTTAAAAAGAAAAAAACAGGCCCAATGTGGGGTCACTTCTGCTGGACCAAGTCACCAAGCTGGGCGTAATGCCTTACCTAATTGCAGATTCAGCCTCCCGCAGGAGTGAACTTTTAAGCCAATCCTTCTGGAATTTCTTCATCACTAGTGAGGCCATCTGCATACAATCCCTGTTCCTCCAAAGGGAGGGTGACCTTACCTGAAACAATCATGAATCTCTTCTTTTGCTAATAATTTTTTGCCCCAACCTCCCGTCTATTCAAACTTTACATTTTGTACAACTCAGAGCCTTTTTCTACTTGCTAGATGGGATGCTGCCCCCTCCATGAATCACTTAGTAAAACCAATTAGATCTTCATGTTTATTTAATTGAATTTTGTTTTTTAGCACTTGCAACACTTGAGCTCACTGCAACAGCAATGGGAGGTGGTGATGAAATGATTACAGTAGCACAGTATGTACCACAGCTACTGTGCAGTTATGACTTAATATTCCATCTTCACATTTGTTTACATTTCTCTTGACTACAAATAGCACCATGTACAGTATGTGGTTGTATGTATAAATTCTGATAAAGTTAAATTTTTATAATAGATTTGTATATATTTTATGGTGGTAAATGCTAAAATAGACTAGTATCTATGTATATTTTATACATTCATGACATAGTTCTTCTTTACTTAGTTTAAAAAAATATTTATAGGCTATGGGGTTTGGCTTGTTTTCAAATTGTCACAGCTATCCAATAAGTGGTCCAGTATATTTACTGAAAAAAATCTGTGTATAAGTGGACCTATGCAGTTCAAACCTGTATTTTTCAAGGGTCAACTATATGTGTATTTTTGACATATAAGTAAGGCTTATTTCTCATGTTTATAGAGTCACTGAGATAAAAACACATGACAAGTGAAAGTACTCACGGTCAATATCAGCATATCTTAATTCATCGTAGACATCATGCTTTGTTAGATTCATTCCTAACTTAGCTAATGTGCACATCATTCCATGTAAATCAATGCAGCCAGTTTTATCCTTGTTAAAGAAGTTGTAGGCAGCTTGGAAGGCTGGGGAAATGGAATTAAGTTAGTCAGAAAAGTTATTCAAGAATAAGTACATATTAATCTACACATTAAAGGCATGCATTGTATGGTATGGGTATTATTTCTCAATAAAGCTATTTAAAAATGAATAAATACATATTGTAATGCAAGTAGGACAGACAGTTGATTGGACATCATGTTCTGAAAAAGTATTGAGAGAAAAATGATTACTTAATAGATACTTCTTACAAAGGACAGTGTCCTTCCATGAAATTTGAACTGGAATAAACTAAGTGGTAGCAAAGTAAATATGTAGGTCTCATGGCCTTTGGAAGATGTCCACACCCTAAACCCTGGAACTTGTGAATGTATCACTGTACGTGACAGAAGGGACTTTGCTGATATAATTAAGATACATTACCCTGGAGTATCTGAGTCGGCTTAATCTAATCAGAAGGGCCCTTAAACAGCTAGAAGCAAGAGAGATGTAGCAGGAGGAGAAATTCGAGAGATTAGAAGCATGAGAAGGACCTGACCCACTGCTGGTTTGAAAATGAAGGGGGCAACATGTTGTGGGATGCACACAGTCAGAATGAGTTCAGAGAGGCTCGTGGCTGACAGCCAGTAAGGAAATGGGGCCTCATCCCTACAGCTGAATTCTACCAACAGCCTGAATAAGCCGGGAAGCAGATTCTCCTCCAGAGCTTCCAGGTGCAGGACCAGCTGGTCAACACCTCCACGTTGAGCCTTGTAAGACCCAAAGAAGAGGAACCAGTTGAGCCCACCTCAACTTGTGACCTACAGAATTTTGAGATAATATATCTGTGTTGTTTTAAGCCACTAAATTTGTGGCGATTTGTTATAGCAGAAATGGAAAAGTAATGCCCCCAGTTGGACCCAAATTATATATGTATTCACAGTTTCAAAGTCTTTTCAAAGGAATACTCAAGGCATTACTGGAGCCAAAATTAGACATGTGTTTTCTAAAATTAATGAATTTTAGAAAAAGTTATCCACAATCTACTCTTTTCCATATTCTGGTCTTTGGAAGGAAGCCACTAAGGTTAGTCCAGATTGAAGGGACAAAGGGCTGGAGGGCAGGGAAAATTAAGCTCGACCTCCTAATATCGAGGTACATTTGGAATTCTTTTGTAAGATTTGTCTCTTCTTCATTTAAAAATTCAATATTTATTTCTCTCACTATGGACATGTAGATATTTATTTTATACTTCGAGTTATAATCCTATGGGGTAAAGCACAAAATTTCCAGAATCTCACGCCTGGCCTTAGCCCATTCACATACACTGCTGCAGCTTCCTGCAGCCTCCGTAGAAAGGAGTGGAGAGATGCCATTCTCTCCTCCCCTCTACTGCATAATCGGTCTGGCGCCTGTAAGTGACCCAGGACCCGCCTGCGGGGTTCATCCTGGAAGGGGCGGGTGGGGAAGTATAAGGGGTGCACTGTGGCTGGCGAGATGGAGAACACCAAGCGGGGACTGGGGAGAAAGGGAAGGAGAGCGGCAGCCAGAGGAAACGGAGGCAGGCCTCACTGTGAGTAATGAGAGGGTTTTTCCCAATCTATCCTGTCCCTAGACAGCGTATGATGCTTCTAAGGCCCTTCAGCAGACAGAACTAGGAAATACATGCATGTTTACTAACCGCGTATACACTGAGATACTATAATGAGTCATAAGAAATACATATTTGGTCATCTTAATTACCAAATATGTATTTCCTAGGTATATTTGGTCCTCATCCACAATTCCCCCAAATACTGCAGAGTCTTAAAGGGGAAATGGATGTCTTGTTATGCTAATAAGAGACTTTTGGAACCCCTACCTAAGGGCTGGGGCTGGAGGTTGAATCAGCCAATGGGCAAAATTTAGCCAATCATAACTATGCAATGAAGCCCCCACAAAAACCCCTGCGAAGAGCTTACCACTCTCGGCTCTTGGATCCTGCTTGTCAGCTGGAGAGAGGGTGTCTATGCTTGGGGAACCAGAATGCCTCCACATGCCACTGAACCAGGTCCCGAGCTCCACCAGAATAGAAGCTCCTTTATTTGGTAACTGGCCCTAAGTATCTATCTCTTCATCTGGCTGTTAACTTTTATCCTTTACTGAACTGGTAAACCTAAGTGTTGTCCTCAGTTCTGTGAGCCACTCTAGAAAATTAATTGAACCTAAGAGGGAGGTGGTGGGAACCTCCAATCAGTAGCCTGTATGTCAGAAGCACAAGTTAACTGCCTGGGGCTTGTGACCGGCATCTGGAGTTGGAGGTGGATAGCAGTCTTGTAGCAGGAGCCCTTAACCTGGGAATTGACCTGAGTTCTGGGACACCACCCTGGTGTCTGAGAACTGCTTAGTGTTGTGTGTGTGGGTTTGGTGGGGAAGACCTCCTTCCCTACCACACTTACATGGGAATTGGGTTCAGGAACCTGAAAGGAGTTATAATGTTCCTGCTACATAACACTGTTGTTGTGTGTGTGTATATATATATGTATGTATATATATACCTAGGAAGGAAAAAATACACAGATCTCTAATTATCTCTTGATCTATCCATCTGTATCCACATTAAGCTAAACATGAGTTCACACTGATTCTCAAGTCCACTGGTTCTCTTCAGCTTTCTCCAGCAGTGAGAAACCTGGCTCCCACCGTCCACCATCCACTTACTTATTCATTCCTAGTGTACATGTATAACAGTTTCAGAATTGTTAATCTATACTCCTGTGAGAAACAACTTTACTAGCTAGAGTACAATGTTTTTGCACATTTCCCTTTTGTGGTCAGTCAAACCAGCTTCCAGTCAAACCGGTGTATTGAAAGTTAATCGGGGCAGCTCCTCCCCACTCCCTCCCTCGACTTATATTTTAACAGAATCACTCTGGTTGTTAGAAAAACAGACTTTTGTAAGGGTTTGGGTAGAAGTGGACAGACTACTATCAGGTAGGAGGCTATTGTGGGTGAGCAGTAATAGCACCTCAGACCAGGGTTGTAACAGTGGGGGTGGTAAGAAGTGACTGACTTCTAGATCCATTTTAAAGGTTGAGCCAATGAGATTTCCTGATGGATTTAGAGGCAGGCTGAAAGAGTAGAGTCAAGGATGTTTCCACAGTTTTTTCCAGAACAAATGGAAGGATGAAATATCATCATCTGGAGGTGGACAGTGGTGATGGCTATAGAATAATGTGAATATATTCAATGCTGCTGACCTATATGTACACTTTAAAACAGTTAAAATTATAATTTTTATGTTATGTATATTTCACCACACACACACACAAAAAGTATGAGGAAGACATCAGGAGTCCAGTTTTGGACATGTTGTTTGAGATGTGTATTAGATAGACAATAGAGATGTCAAGTAGGAAATCAGATGTAAGTGGGGTTGAAGAGAGGGGCCTGGCTGGAGCCGCCAGAACACATATGGTATTTAAAGCCTGTTCCTTCCTTCAGAAACCACAGAAAAGGCTCTTGCCTACTTCCCCCCACCGTTTGCCTCCTGACCAACTCTGGAGCCTCCCTATGCGGCCCCTCGTGCTGTGCTGTGCCTCTTATTTCTAAGGATCTGTGAGTACAAAAAGCTTCCTCCACAACAGTCATCTCTGGGTCTGCATGTCTTGCAATACCTGCTTAAAACAAGTCCTGCAATCCCTTAAAACAAGAACCGATGTATAGTAATGCTCTTTGGAAATCTTAAAGTTTTGTAAACCCATGAACCTATTAAGGCATTTGGCTCAGTTTTAAAGTAAATAATACAATTCTGATCTTGACCATCTTGTGTTTTTAGAACCAGCTTTCCCAGCGATAAAGGTGATGCTTTGACTCCCTTCTGTCTTCTGGGTCAATTTCTCAGTTGGTTCCAAAGTTGGAGGGTAAAGTATTAACCTTCCCAGAACCCAAACACAGCCATGCTTGATTTTTAGTTTTTCTAGTATGTCATGCTTTCTCCTTCCTTTGGGCCTTTGTGGATTTCACTCTTTCTGCCCAGAACACTCCCCTCTGCACTGGGCCTGATTTATTCCTACTCATTATTCAGCCTTCTCTGGGACTCCCGGCCTATCTTTGTAAGACCAAGTTAGGCTATTTGCTTTTGTGCTTCTATAACACTATAATTCCCCTATCATAATCTGTGTCATATTGTAATTTAAAAATCTTAATCAACAAACTCGTCGCTGAGCTATCTGACTTCCCAGGGACACTGACTTGTTAGTTGCTGTGTTTCCCATGCCTAGTACATTGTTGATTTTAAATAAGTACTTATTGTTTGGATTATGAACTATAACCAGTATAGCTCATTTAATCATTATAATTATTTTTCTATGAGAAATCTTGGGACTTCACTTGTCTTTATACTGCTCCTTCTTGATTTCTACTTGACTTCACATTTGTTCTTTTCCACACCCGCAAGTTCTTTGAATAAAAATATTTGGCCAGAACTGTCAGAATTCTGGGAAGATATCTATTTCAACGTTTCCCCTTTTCCTTCCCACATATTAAACATTTAATTAAAAATTTTTTTTTCTCAAATAACAGATTATTGTAGACAACTCTCGAAATCCCTGATCTCTTGTAGAGAAGAAAATGATCAGATATACTAAGAGCTTTTGCTTATGCTTTCATTTTGGGGATCATTTTCATCACCTTGCATTTGTGAAGCAGTCAGCTTCCTCTCTTTGTGCTGTAATCGGCATGGGAGAGAGCCTGGTAAGTCATTCCTGACAAAAGACATGACAAGATTTAATACATATCTGAAACCAGCAAATATTAGTTCCATTCATCAGTTTTTACCAACTGGAATGACTGTAGGCATCACAGTAACCCAGAATCTCACCCCCTAAGGGATCTGTCACTGTCACTTGCCAATAGCTACAAGATGGACAGTGAGAAAATGTCTACCTCTCCCTCTACTTGCCCATCATCCTTATTACCTTGAAAAACTGACTTACCTCATTCTACAAAAAAGGAAACTGAGGTTCAGAGGGATTAACTAACTTGTCCCAAGTCACAAGGTTAAGTGGAAGCCTTGGGATTCAAGCTCAGGTTTATCTGACTTCAAAGCTCAAGGATATAAGCCTTACATCATTCCTGTTGTTAGAAATATAAATTGTTTCAAATTTTTAACTAATATAATTTTACAGTACATATCCTTATAGCAAAACCTTTCCATCCATAATTATTTTATGATTTTAATTGCTAAACTGTATTTTTATCAGCATATGAGAGAGAGGTATATAGCTATAGCTTAATCTACTATATATCAACTATTTATTTTCTATCTATCTATCAAGAGAGAATACTTCTGGAAGTTTGGAACATTGTATGAATTTTTGTTTCCTCAGAAAAATAAAATCTCAAAAAAAAATTTAATACTTTGGGGATATTTTGAATAAATTTGTAATAATTTAGTTATTAGGAATATGAAAATACATTATGCAAAACAGTTTTCTTATAATGTGGTAATTTTAAAGTAAACTTATAATTTTATGAATTAATCTTACTTAAAATACATTTAGCTTGGATACTAGTGGAACCAGAAGTATTAAGAAATATGGAATCTCTTAGTTTTTGTGTTTTTAATAGAAGCAGTTGAAAAAGTGAAACTAGAAGAAGTACTCAAGATAATAGTTAAATTTTTTTAAAAATATGAATTTAGTATCCTCTATAGTATCTACAAGATTCATTTTTAAAGAAAGACCTGGGGAAAAAGAGGTGATGTCAAAATGCAACATTCTCAATTTTTTCAACATGGAATTGTATCTAAGTCTTATTTTCTCAGCTTTACTTGCATTGATTTCTTCTTCTGGTGTTCCCTTGAACTTCTTGAACTTCAGAAAATTCAAGTTTGCTTTTACTCAGATATGTTATTTTACATTTGCATTATATAAAAGATGGAGTAGATAGAGAAATATGAAGTTCTCAAGAAGAGGAAAGTAGAAGGCCAGGCAGTATAAAGTCTGTATTAGCTACATAAAAAATGGATACTTTTGGCAGGATTTCAAACCTTATCTTGGATCAAACATGGGAAATAGTCTTTTTATTTTACAATGTTTTAAAGGTTTGAAGAACCTTAGATTTGAAATGAACCCAGCTGAACCTCTCATCTCATGTAGGAATTTCCTCTGCAATGTGGTATTATCTAGTCTTTGCTTGACTACTTTCAGTGACAAGGAAATTACTACATGAAAAGACAGCTTGTAATGCAGGGTAAGGGAACAAATAGATCAAGGGATCTGGCTGCTATAAGGTGGTCTTACCCACGTCCCTCTAAAAAAGTCAGTAGTACTTCCTGTACTAGTGGCATAGTCAAGGACATTGGGAGAAATACTCTACAGTGGCAAAGAAAATGAAACTGTGAGAGAGGAGAGAGACTTTCCTGATAAAATATAGATCAGGCTTTCACTTTCAGTCATTTAGTGGCTATTGTTTATTGGGATTTGTAGTTATCAGTCTGAGGGAAAACTATTGTTAATGTCATGAGCAAACCTTCCTTCCCAATTTTAGCTCAAGGTTAGTCATGGTGAATTTATCAGATTTCATTTTACTGGTCATATTTGAGCTACTGGCCTTTCTCTATATTCTAACTCACTTGGGGGTTTAGATCTTCTTTATTATCCTCTAAATTTATTCTCCATTATTCACTCAAAATATCTTAATGTATAAATGACAACTTCTTAAGCCCTCTAGGGTATTCTATTCCTTCATACAAGGATTTGTGTGAATTGGAAGAGAACTCTTTGTTTTCCTAATCAAAAAGAATATACATTTTTCATAAAAATCTTTATCTTCAATTCATATATCTTGTTTTATAACTAAATTTATCACAGAATATATACTTGAAGAGCATTCTAACTTGTTTTTTATTGTTTCATTATAGCCTTTAGGGGTATTTAAAATATTTATCAGCTTAATAAGTCTTTATCTTAATGTATTTATCATCTTAATATATTCATTACTCTTACCTCTTGCCATGTGAGCTAGGTACTTTTTTTAGAGCATTCAGCTTAAGTTTTGATTTACTGTCAGAAACTGCCATGTAGCCAGTAACTCTATCTGGAATTCAGAAGACACAATTAAGAATCAATTCACAGATTAATTTCTGTATATTCTCTTGCAACTTTCCCACCTCAAGACATAAAGTTTTAAGTCCAGAGCCTCAAGGAATGGTAATATGTGCAAATTCAAGTAAGAGGTATGTGCAAAGTTGGAAGACCATGTGGAAGGGCCTCTCTACTGTCCCAAGATCTCTGAGCAATATTTATTGCCATTGCTCCCCTTTCAAATTATGTCATTTGGATCCTATATAAAAATAAATAGTACTATGTAATGAAGATTAAGCCTGGAAATATGTGGAACAGTTATTTAAAGATGAACTTTATTTTTATCTTTTTATAGTGATAGATACCATTTATTGAATACATGTTTGGTGTCGGGCACAATACTAAAAACTTTATGTAAAGTAAAAAGCTTTATTTTTGAAGTCAGTAGAACATTTCATGTCATAATTGACAGAGAATACAATGTTACAGCATTTCCAAAATATTTACCTAATTGTTTATATCCTGGATACCTACTTGGTAGTAAGTAGATTTTCTCAGGGTTTCCTGTTGGGAGGCCCACCCCTACCCTGTCAGTTCTTATGAACCCGTTTGTCTTTCTTAAAAGTAGGAGTGGGGGTGGAATACAATGCCATTTTGCTACCTGAGACCTCCCGAATGGACTCTTAGCCACTAATGGGATTAATTAGGATATGGTCCCCCTAATCCTCCCTTACCACTTCTGAATAGTTTGAGAATCAGGGCCCCTGGACCAGAAGCTGGGTTGGTAGGACATCCCCCTTTTACTGTTGGTTTTTTATCTTTTTTGATGTAAAAAGGTAGTTCACTGGCAAGAAAACTGGGTTGCTGATTTAGGAATAACAGACAATCAAATACTGTTAAACTGTGAAAAAAAAATCTTTGGACATTTGGTTAGTTTGATCAATTATCCCAGGTCTTCACCTCAGAGCCTGGAAAGTAGTTGCATCTAAACACTTCAATTATATGTATTCAAAATATAGAAACCTACCCCTGAACTGGAACACCGGAGAGGCTCAATAATTTTGGCACTTGAAAGATGTTATGAAATCATCCTCATAGTTCAAAGTACTCATTCCTTAAAAAAAAAAACTACCTCTCATAGAGGTGATTGAAGGCTTTAGTCATATCAAGAATCCAAAAGAGGGTTTGTTCCATCATGCAACTGTGACCTCATTCACTTCTCAGGCTCTGGCCCAGGGTAACAATGACCGACAAGCTCTTCCTAGCTTCAGAGCAACCGTATTTTCAATGTAGATCCGTCGGCACCTTTGCTCTAACTGTGGGTGTGGATTACAGAATCAAAACATTTTGACGCTGTTGGGATATCACAGGAGGGGAAATTGTTTTTTAAAATTCTGTATTAATATATTTTAATGTTAAACATTAGTGAGTTGAAAGTAATAAAGGTAAAAAAATTTTACCCAACTGCCTTGATTGAGTGGTGATGAAAACCATTTCACTAACTGTTTAAGTCTAGGAAGAGGGACTAAAAAAAAAAAAAGAAAAGGAAAAAAATCACACTCTTATAGGTTTGCAGTCTATAGTATTATTGGAAGGAATGATTTAAGAAGAGCAGTTAAAGAAATGATTATGACTGTTTTAATCAGAAACTTTAATATTCAAGATCTAACATATCTTGTGGCATTGTAAACCCTCTAGCAAAGGAGTTAGGAGTGTCTTTGGTCTTCATCTTGGCTAAGCACAGATAACTCTGGCACCAAAGGCTTAGCTTGAGCCCCCCCAAATTGTTTCAGGGTTCACTTAGTGGCTGCAGTTTTATAGGTTTCCTATTCCTGCTCTCAGGGTTTGTTTATTAGAAATATAGTTTGACTTTGCTCTAGTCTTTCTTAATTTGGTGCAGTACCTCCCATTCCGGCTAGAGATACAAAGGGAAAGAAAAGGAAGGTTTTATTTACAAATTAATTAAACAAATATTTAATAAGGGCCTACTGTGTTAGGGGCTACCAAGATTTAAAGTGGGGATAATGGCAATTCCTATTGGATGGGATTGTTGAGAAATAGAGCATTATTATTTTAAATTGTGGTAAAGTACACATAAAATTTCCTACCTTGATCATTTTAAGTTATACCTCATTATTGTTAATGTATATTCACATCGTCATGCATCTAAACTCTAGAACTTTTTCTTCTTGCAAAAATGAATCTCTACTCTCATTAAGTAATAATTCCCCACTTACCCCTTCCTCTTGATCCCCAGCAACTACCGTTCTTTCTGTTTCTAAGAATTGGACTACTTTAGAAATCTCATGTAAGTGGAATCATACAGTATCTGTCCTTTTGTGACTGGCTTATTTCACCTAGCATAATGTCCTCAAGGTTTATTTATGTTGTAGCATATGCCAGAATTTCCTTCCTTTTTAAGGCTGAATAATATTTGATTCTATGTACCACTTTTTATTTTCTATTATGTCAGTGGACACTTGGGTTGCTTCCACATAGAATAATGCAGCTATGACACATTGATGCATTGGAGTACAAATATCCTTGGAGACCCTGCTTTCAGTTGTTTGGATATATACCCAGAAGTAGAATCGCTGGATCCACATGGAATTCTATTTTTAATTTTTTGAAGAAATATTGTTTTCTATAGTGACCTGTAGTTTACATTCTTACCAATAACGCACAAGGGTTCTAGTTTCTCCATAGCCACACCAGTACTATTTGTTTTCTGTTTTTTTTTTTGATAGGTGTGAGGTTTTATCTCATTGTGGTTTCAATCTGTATTTCCCTCATGATTAGTGATGTTGAGTATCTTTTCATGTACTTGTTGGCTATTTATATATCCTCTGTGGAAAAATGTCTGTTCAAGTCTTTTGCCCACTATTTACGGTTGTTGAGTTGTAGGAGTTCTTCATATATTCTGAATATTAACCCCTTATCAGATATGTGACTTGCAGTCATTTTCTTCCATTTTATAGGTTGCCTTTTCACTATGGTGATTGTCCTTTGATACACAGGGTTTTATGTGGTCCAATCTAATTTTATTTTTGTTGCCTGTACTTATGGTGTCATATCCAAGAAGTTATTGCCAAATCCAATGTCATGAAACTTTTTTCTTCTAAGAGTGTTATAGTTTTAGATCTTGGATTCATAAAGTGAAATATGGCAGCAAAAGTAATTAGATATGTTGATTAGACTAGACATGTTGGGCTGGGGTTGGTTATTAGAAGAGATACTGCACTTTGCCACACAAGTTTTATTTGGCTTATGCAGTATTACAAAACTTCTGAATTCCATAATTGAAAACATAAATAAATCAAGAATTATTAGTTTATGACTTCTTGTGAAAAATCCAAAGATCAGAAAACGCAGGGCCTACATTCCTGTTTATTAGTAATTGACTTGAACAGAACAGCCATCACCCCTTTAACAGGAACCTAAGGTTTCCCAATTCCGCAGTCCCCATCATTTTTTCTAGTCTCTTACACCAAGCATGTCACTCATTTAACCTGGTTTTCTGGACCCATGTTCATCTTGATTGTTAAGCTAAGAGACTTTATTAGCGCTGGGGAATCCTGAAGATATCTGAGTAGGGATGTTGCATGAATATAGCTGTTTTGTATGGGAATTAATTCAATCATATCAATCTAAGAACTGCCTAGGTTCATATATTCCCTTCCAACTTTATGAAGAATATAAAGGAAGTGAATATTAGATGGGGCAGAATATCTAGTATCAGATTTCTTTCTATGTAGTTCTGTTTGCCAAAGGACAAAAGGGAGCTTTATGGCAAAAGGTTGTGTTTCAGTGTGATTTATAATTTATGAACTCTGAAAACCTAGTATATTAGAGCAATGTCCAACTCATTCTGTACAGTTAAAAATATATGCGCTTTAAGGAGAGGACGGGGAAAAAAGAAAAATGTTGCTACCTCCTTGTTAGAGTTACTGCCCCTACAGGCCGATCAGGTTCTTGACAGGCAGACTCTTCACACCTCGCCCTGGCTGTTCTGCTTTCACTGACTGTAAGCCCCTTGAGGTCAGAACCTGACTGTTCTTTCTCCCCAACAGTGGCTCTGTCCATAGCAAGTGTTCAATGAATGACTGAGGAAAGACGTTCCCTTCCTTTTTAGGCAGGGCACATATTCAGGGTTGTGCAATCCCTTGTTGGAAGAAGGGAATTAAGCCTGAAAGGCTATTATTGTGAAGGTTGGATTTTTACCCTGAGTGACACAGGAATCTCCTGGAGGATTTGAGCAGAGACATGACATGATCCAGTGCAGGGGGATCAGTTAGGTCTTTGCAGTAATCCAGGGCAGGAGGTCGAAGCAGAAGTAGTGACAGTGGTTGAGATACATGTATTTTGAAGAGGGAATCAAGTTTTTCCTGATATATTCCCTGATACATATCAGAGTCTAGAACATAATAGGCACTGAAAAAATACTTGTGGAATGAGTGAATTGGATTAGATGTGGAATATAAGAGAGGAGGATTGGAGCATATTCCAAGGTTTTGGGCTGAACAGCATAGCGGATGGAGCACAGACCTGGAAGGATGGAATTTCCACTTCCCGAGATGAACAGGTGACTGAATCAATGCTGTTATATCTGTTACATTGGTGAAGAAACTAATTGGAATCCATGTATATTCAAATATTGTGGAAAGGAGATACTAAAAATCAGGCATTTAGTTGTTTTCAGCATGTGGGGTAAACAATATTATAATTTGCTATAAACTTGGTGCTAAGAAGTTTTCTGACCTTTTAGACTGCTCAGTGAGGATCAATGAGCAGGTGGTTGTCACATTTTTAAAATATTTTCCTCTTATTGCCTATCTATGTTGATTCTTGGAATCCCCCTCACATCCTTGCACTCCATGGCTGGCGTGGACGGTCATGGGGATAAGGGTTTATTGCTGGGCATTTTCACGGTTGCTGCTCCAAAAGAGTCATCCATGTTGGCATGCACTAGATTTTTAAATTATGACTAGTTGGGTTTCATGAGTAATAA